CCCTCTGTAAACCCAATGACGTCGTGGGCAAGGGCTTATGCAATTTGTGTGGCTCGAGGGGCCACAAGACGTCACTAGCTGACCAGTGACCGCATCCGTGGCGCAGTTCCACTTGACTGATGAAGCGCATAATTTCACGGAAATATTTAGTTTGTGGCCGGCCACATTGGGAGGGACATTTCCCTGGCTATCCATTTGGGTATATAAATATTGAACAAGTGCCACATTTCACGCTTAGTATGCAAGAATCGAACGCGGATTGAACTCCACGCGAACACACACAAAATCCAGCAGCAACATTTATCCAGCAGCGACGAAGATGAAGAGGCGACGCGTAATCGAGTTGGTGGCAGTGGGAACTCGTTTCGGTGGCTTCCGTGTTGCATCGTGGAAGATGGCACGCGCCTGCCACACGCGCCTGTTGGGGCTAATTGTGGGACTCGGCATGATCGGCGTGTGCTCGGCCGTTGGCTACTCGTATACGCGCTTCGAGGGTCCAGTGGCGGGGCCAGAGCATCTGGTGACGGTCCACAATGGACGCACCGACTATGTGGCACGGCCCGAGTACAGCTTCGCCTATGGCGTCGAAGATGGCAAGACGCGTGTGCTGCAGAATCGCAAAGAGACGCGCAACGGGGACGAGGTGCGCGGAGTCTACAGGTAGGTGTAAACAGAGGGGTAACACGGGGGGAACAACAACAAGTTGTCAGCGTTCACTAATGTCACGACATCCACGCAGCGTAGTCGATCCTGATGGCACCCTGCGTGTGGTCAAATACACCGCAGACGATGCCAATGGCTTCCAGGCGGAGGTTATCACGAATGGTGTGAAAACGCTGCACGGCCATGGAGGCGATGATGGAGGAGCACCTGGAGCACCTGGCAATGGTGGTGCATCGGTGGATGAACAGGTAAGGCATGAGACCCCTGCCGAAACGGAGGCAGAAGATGAAGAAGGAGATCAAGTAGATCAAGGCAAAGCCTACTACAAAGTGCACGAAGACTACGACGAGAGCGATGACGATGACGATGGAGAGGAGAAGCACAAAGAGGGAGATGAAGACCATGAGGAGGGTGGCGGCGATCATCAGGAGTACGAGGGCAGCAGCGAGGAGGGCTACGACGAGGCCGATGCTCACAGTCAGGCGGAGCAGCAGGAGAGCAGCGAAGAGTATTAAAAGGGATGCCCATGCGCCCCTAGCTATAAGTCTGCAGTATGCTAACTACTATTATTTTGTGATAAACCAGAAATAAAACCAACAAAATACTCACACAAAATGGCAGATACCGAGTGGGGGGGTTGGGGTTCCTTTTGCATAATCAAATCCCACATCAAACTCTGACCCGCTAGAGCTTGGCATGAACTCCACTAATTGAATTATCCAGACATGGAGCCATGGACAGAGGAGATGGAGAGTGCGGCATGCCTTTGCGTAACCGCCAGCAAGCGCCACATCAACGTCAGTGGACATCGGACGAAGCCAAGTGAAGCGTGCGCTCCCAGCTACAGCTGCCAGCTCCAGCTTGGATTTGTAGTAGGATTTTGATCAAATTTCGATTTCATTTTCGCATGGACTCAATCAAGCAGAGAGCAGCGAGCTGAGCGCAGCGACTGTCAGTCCGTTCCGATGGACATGCCACTTTGGTGCAAGCCTCAGCTGAAATCCAGCTGAAATGTACTTGCAACGCTGCTGCCTGTACGCTCCAGTTGTGGTGCGTGTGGCTCTGGTGGTGCCATTTCGTCACTCGCTTAATTTCCAACGCGCAAATGCGCAAAATCCCATTAAATGTGCGAAAACTCAAAAGCAGCAGCAGGAGAGAGGAGTTAAGTGGTGCAGACTGGAGCACACATCTTAGAGTGGGTTCGTGGTGGAAAGTGGATCAAACGACGTCTGGTTTTTGTTGCCAAGCGATGCGGTAATAATGCTGCAATGCCTGATGCTGGCCAAATGGAGTCGGTAATCTCACAAAATTGGGTTGGCAGCCGCCATCGAAAACGCAGACAGAGACGCCGGACGCCGGACGCCGGACGCCGTCGGATCGAGCTAATTGACAGCAAACCCCCGCCGCCGCCGCTCTGTGGCATAGAATGAAACACCATAAACAAAAATCAAAGACTGGCAACTGAAGACCGACGACCGTTGAAGCGTGCGTCCTGAACGTGCAAGAATTTCGCACTCGAAATGTTTTAATTAGTTGAAAACGAGAGACAGAGCGAGTGCTTGGCTGTACAGTAATTGGAGACCTGCCCCAAGGGTTTCGCATCACCTTTCGGAAGTGAATCTCTTGCATAATCCTCCCCTACCGGATATGGCCCGTTACGCATACGCAGCGTTGAGCAACGCTTTGAATTACATGCCACATGCCAACTGCATGCATTCGCCGCAGTGACTTTCTAATGGACACCCCGCCCCAGGCCAGGCCATTGTCCAGCCTAAGCAACCCAACGCAAGGCCTTGAGGTCTCAATCATGAACAAAAAACCCAAAAAAAAACAGCAAACAAAAATTGCTTTACCGGCCAGTGCATAAATCAAGGCACAAATCTATAACTGTCAAGTCATTTAAGCCAATGGTAAAACATTTAGCAGGGCGGAATGGGTCCGCAAAGGGGGGAAACGACTAGCCAAATGACTAGCAGGAGTAGAGGCAACCCAGTGGCTGCTAGACCGCATATACCCCATGGACTGCAGGGCAATGTCCATGCAAAGTGCGTTTAAATGTTCAATCAAAGTGCCTGCCCCCTCCGTCCGCCCACGACAAACCATTGTCCAAACATAGGCAAACAAACTGCCACATTTGCGGGCTCGTACACCACTCGTAAATCAAGATAAAAACTTTGTTCTACTTATCGACAGTCACAGCCATAAATGTAATAAATCTCCAGTTAAGCTCAGTACCCCCCCAAAGGGGGGGGCGGCATGCGTGGACAAGTGCAATTAACGCATGCAAAACGACGATTGCGAGTATTCCCGCCATCGATCAACCAAAATGTCGCTTGGAGGGAGAGATACTCGCGGCATTGCGCAATCATCGATCGGAAAAGCAGACCCCAGCAGATCCCAGACGAACGACAAAGACAAAGACACAAAGCTTGGCGCTTGTTGAAGTCATTTCGCTTTTCCAACTGTCCTGTCCAGTGACCAACTAACCAACTAACCAACTAAACTCAGCTTCCAAGGGGGAGCTGTGGCTCCTCCAACTCCTAGCGCCAGCTCTGACTGTGACTCTAGCTCTCTGTCAAAGTGCGATCGTGACGTGGCCAACTTGTTTCCCAGCCTGCCCTGCTGCTGCCGCCTCTCCACCTCTCTGTTGGAGTCTGCGTCTAAGTTTTTAGCTGTTGCCTCTGACTGTGTTTCCTTCGGCATTTTCGGCCACAATTGTGTTTTGCGAGCGATTTTCGGCCAGTCGTGTAAATGTGTCGCCTTTAAAGCCATTTTATGTAAGTCGATTCTGTGTCTTTGTCTTCGCCGTCGCCGTCGCCTTTGCCATTGCCTCTCCTCCATGCCACATGCTAATGGCCAGGCCCAGACACAGAGATCTTGGCTCTTTTATAGTGCGATTTGTGGCCACTTTTGGCATGTTTCGTTTTCATTTTCATTTTCATTTGTGTTTCTGTTTCTGTTTCTGCACCTCCACTGCCGGCGACAGGCATCCACTTCTTTTTTTCCCATAGTTTTTCTGCTGACTGCCGACTATGTGCTGAGTATGTGCCTCACCATTTAATGGCCACTTGTGTGTGTTTTATAAGATACAATCATAATTTTCTGATATGTCATGCCAAGAATTGTTTGTTTTGGGTTTTTTGCTGCTGCTGCTGCTGCTGCTGTTTTTTACAGCTCGTCGTGGGTGTTGCCGCAAAGTTTAGCCAAGATGAAGTGTCAACGCTAAGACTGCTAAGAGTTGGTTAAGATTTTATGGGGCAGTTTGATCAGGAGAAACCGCCCCCGGGGTTGGAGAAATCTCAGTGGAATTTATGGCACATATTTATGATTATTTCTAACCAATCTTTCACCATGATAAGAGCTAATCTCCAGGCAGTTCATATTTATATTTAGAGCGTAGCTCTGTGACAGATCATATCTTATCTTCCATCAACAAAATTCCTTCAAGATTTATCATTTGCCTTTCATTCCACGATTACTAATTTGTCGCATGCCACAGAGCAAGACAGAGAGAGAGAATATTGATTGAGCAGCATTTGATTCGAGTCAAATTATTTGGCAACACCGCGAAATTCCGCCGACACACACACACACGGAGCTCTCTGCGGGCAAAGTTCTCCAGATTGTGGCAGTAATAAACCGAAGTCGGGCACAAGAATGTCAGTCAACAAATTGCGTGGCATGAAAAATACGCAAGTTGTGGCTCAATGTTGTTGTTGCTGGTGTTTGGCGTGGTGGTAATTATAACGACGCCCCGTTTGATTGCCACAGATATGGTAATAATATTTTTGAGGCTTTTTTTCTTTGGCAAAAACCAGAAAGCAGCCAAAGCCAAAAAGACTAAAACCGATCGAAATGATGTCGGCAAATCAATAAATAAAGAGCTTAGATCATTAGAAGCAATGCAAAAGTGTCACCTGTTCCACACCCCACCCTCCAGAGGGAGTACCCTATGGATAGAAAAAACAAAGTCAAGCAAAACGCCTTCACAAAACAAATGCCGCACCTATCGGTGGAGCTGTTGGGCATCATTGTTGTGGTGCTGCACATGCGTGGTACGAGTATGACACGGCACAGCAGCAGCTCGTAGAGGCTGCAACTGCAACTGCAGCTGATGGCTGGCTGACTGAGTCTCCTCCCCCACCCGGCTCGATCCGTGGCAGCTGCAGCAACGATCTCTGGCTGCCGCTGCTCCGATCTCTTGCTGCTGCTGCTGCTGCTGCTGTCGTCGTCGTCGCTGTCGTTTTCGTTGGCCAATTCGTGTTGCATTCGGCGTCCGACGCGTATATAAATACTTTTGGTCATCGTTGCAGACATCAGTTCAGCTTACGAATTCGTGCTATTCACGGTCCTCCACTCACACAGAAAGAGTCCTGCCAGTCACAGTGTCCGTTCACAAGGAATCAACAGCGCCAAGTCCTTTATCCTCTCGTCAGCCTACGTGTTCGCGTCGTTCGTGTTTGCTTCTGTCGTTTTCTTTTGTGCTCGAACCCCCCAACATGAAGGTGTGTGTCTGCCCTCCCCCCAGCCTCAAGTGTGACGAACCCACCCTGATCCTGATTCTCTCCCCCTCATACAGTACTTCATTGCCATCGCTCTGCTGTTTGCCGCCGCCCAGGCCGTGCCCATTGAGCTGGGCCACTATGGACCCGCGCTGGTGCATCATGCGCCCGTGCTGACCCACGCCGTTCATGCTGTCCACGCCGAGCCTGTGGCCTATCCCAAATACAGCTTCAATTATGGCATCAAGGATCCCCACACTGGCGACATCAAGTCGCAGGCCGAGGAGCGTGATGGTGACGTGGTGAAGGGTGAGCACAAAACCAAAGACTGAGGACACAAACTTGGAAACTTAGTACATAAATTGTGTTAATTCTTCCCCTTGCAGGCCAGTACTCTCTGGTTGAGCCCGATGGCTCGGTGCGCACTGTCGACTACACTGCCGACGATCACAATGGCTTCAATGCCGTCGTCCACAAGACCGCACCCAAGATCCTGCACCATGCGCCCGTAGTGCACGCCCCCATCCTGTCGCACGCCCCCCTGCTGCACCACTACTAAGCGCAGATCAGCTGGACAACGACGCACAGGTGCTCCATATCTCAAAAACAAAACACACACAAAAAGCGCAGCAGCAACCACAGCAGAATCATAGGAACCACAAGAAAACGTAAAGAAAAATCACAAAAAAAAAAAATACAAACAAAAACAAAACAAATCACACAAAAAATGTAAAAAGTAAGTTGTAGCTAAGAGTTTTAGTAGAACACGGGAACGCCTTCGAGGGCGTTTCCGGCACCCGGCTGATCCTGGCATGGCATGGACGAAGGAAAACAAACGATAAGAAAAAAACGCAAAAGCAAAAGCAAGACCCAGAAGAGGGGCAAAAACCCGACTTGATCGCAGATCGAAGATCACAGAAGAGAAACGATGGATTCGATGGATAACAATGTTTGCAAGTGGAACGGCAGTGGAGGATCGATCGTATATAACTTCTTATACTTCTTCCCGTAGCAGAACTTTTGCACAGAGCCCACCCGAACTGAACGATGCAAAGGCCTCTGCTGGCAGCTAGAATCTCTCTCCTGATCTGTACATAGAACTTTATTTATCTACTCGAGTTCTATTTATTTTTCAAAGCTCTCACTTTTGTAATATATTTATGTGTGCTGTGCGCTCTACTCTCCTTTACCCCACTCTCTCACTCACTCTCTTTCTCTCTCTAATACTATCTCCATTTCTGTTTGCTCTTCAAGCCTTTGCAGTGCTCGTGAAACTGTGGACCCCAACTGTTTCCCCAAACAGTTAACATATGCCTTGGGGCGTGCTCTCCCCTCAGAGAACCTTGTGCCATTGCGGGATGCAGAGGGGGACACAGTTTGACAGCCTCAGTTCATTCGGTATGCATTTTGTGTGAATCAAATAGTGGAGACATGACGCTCCCAGATGGGCCGGTAAATGTGCATTAGTAGCTAGTACTGCCCTGCCCCTCTCCCCAAAATAACTGTTTAATAATTGTTATCCATGCAAACTCATTCTGTTTCTATTTCTTCTCAATCTCAACTCTCTCACTGACTCACTCACTCTCACTGACGCCGCCTCAACCATCTCTCACTCTCTCACTCTCTCACCTTCTTCACGCGCTCTCTCTCTCTCAGCGTCTATTCCTCTCTCTAACTGTCTCTCTGTCTGTCTCACTCTCTCACTCAGTCTGACATCTTTTGTATCTAGTTTCATTTTTTGCATTTAGTATTTTGTCACATTTATTGTGTATTTATAAACAATTATGCAGCTTAATTTTAAACAAACGAAAAAACATAGAAGAAAATCCACACAAAAAAAGGAATCGATCTTTGTACTCAATTTGTAGGCCTACGAACTAAAAAACAACCCGAACAAAAACAACCAACCAACTCTCACATGTCTCTCAAATGTCTCTCAAATGGTTCATTTGGGCCTTACACTTATGTACTATATATTCCCCCCACATAAGCATAAGCATTTGTGTGTGCAAACGGCAACAAGCAGCGAACAAAAATGCAAACCAACGTTTTTATGGAACATTTTCAAATGTATAGAAAAAAGCGAAAAAAAAATATAAAATAAAACTCATATTTAAAAAAAACTTCGACTCTTTTCTTTCTTACCTACGAAGGTCATGAAGATTAGCATGGATGGGCCATAATTATTACATTTATAAGACTGGGCAAATGAGAACTGAACAAGAGGAAACACTTAACATTCTGGTGAAGTATTTCGAATGAGGCAGGGGATTCGCACTCGAGCTCGATGGAAGGCCTCTCGAATCCATTCTGCTGTGGGTTCTCGACTCCTCAGTCTATCATCGGCTGCCATTGAAAGAACGCGCAAGTCCAGAGCTAGCCCAAAACACCGAAATAAATGTGAAATTTATACCAAAATTTATGGAAATATCAATATGCGCAGATCATTAATATTCAGCATGGGATCTTTGAGCAGTTTGTTGTGGTTCATTGTAAGTGTGCGTTGGAGTGGCGAAAACAATTGGAAAATACATTTGAGACAAGAATTCATGTGGTGCGGTTTGAAGAGAGCAAAATGTGCTATTGATTGTGCTATTTAAGAGGATAAGCCTGGCAAGACTTGAAAAGATTTTAAAGTAGGGAGAAAAAGTTAAGGTTGTGAGCTGCAAAATTGTTTGCGAATGTATAAGAAAAGACTGTGAATAAATTGCTTAACATCACATAATAGTAATCAGAGCATTTTCTTCCGTTTAAACCCTCTTTAAGTCCTTGTAAAACTGAAGCACTTTCGGAGCTTACACCAGAGTTTAAGTTTGATATTTGCCAAATATCTTCAGCAGCAGAAAATCCGCTCTTTAAGCTCCACTCCCTACTCCATCCAAAGCTTGGAATCTCCCAAATATATGCTACCAAATAATTCATTTCTCTATCCCACAGCTATTCGTACTAATCATAAAAGTATACGCCACGTTGGCAAGCCCATTGGCTGCCGAAAGTGAAGCCTATTCAAAGACAGCAGCGGGAAATGCCAGCAAAAAAGCGAAAGTAACCAACTATTTTCTGCACGAGCCATACGGTAGGCTATGCACACGAAAACTTTAACAAACTTTTCATTCATTTTGATGCATTTCAGGCACCAATACATACGCCTTTGGCTATGAGATCGATGATCCGCAGACGCAGAATGTGCAGTTCCGCGATGAGCGACGCTTTGTGAATGGCAGCGTCGAGGGTAGCTACGGGTATGTGCGACCCGATGGCCTCATCGAGGTCACCAAGTACCGGGCCGATGAGAATGGTGGCTTCTTGGCACAGACGCAGAGCTTCCAGCCGGGCGATGAGCAGGCGAAGACGGTGTGGCCCACCCAGCGACCAGACATAATTGTGGACAGACACCAGGTGCAGTCGCCGGCGAATGTCACATGGGATCCCAAGAGTCATCTCAATGTGAGCGTCTCCCATGTGGCCGACGATGTGGCCAAGCAGCTGAAGGAGCAGCACGGCCTCGACCTGAATCACATCGATGTGAACAAAGATGTCCTACAGCCAGCGGTGTTCGATGTGCTGCACGGCAGGGCTCCGCTCAAGAATCAGACTAGAGATGGAACTCCCTTCCAACCGGTTCAAAATGTGATACCCAATCGTTTTCCCATCGTTCCCTTTATGCTGCCCACGGACACGGAGCCCATCAAGGCCACCAGCGAGGAACCACAGCCCAAGGGAAACTTTAATACAAAGTACAACCGAGCGAAGACCAACAATGCGGAGAAGGCGCCGCAAGTGGAGGCGCCCGAGTCGGAACTGCTGCCACCCCCCAGGCCATTGGTCAATGAGGCTGCCAGCGATGCAAATTGGTATCAGCGGATCATTGATGCAAATCGTCGTGAATTCCTCAACAATCTACCAAACTTAAGCAAACTAAAGGCCTGAAAATGTGCAGCTAGAGACCTAACCTAGAGACATCCCCCACTAGCATTAGTTAGAGATCAGCCTTCTGCTGGCTATTAGGTAAGCTTCTTTCACTTTTCAATGGAAACAAAAAAAAAAACACGCAGAAAAAAGAAAACAACAAAAGAATGCCAACACACAACGTAATTGAAGCTGGCAATAAAAGTGAGACCAAAAACGATCGAAGTGTTGGCAGCATATTTGAAATATCTTCCGGGTGGCAAATTGGAGCAGAGCTGAGACTTGATCCCAATCTAAATGGCTTGCCACCAGCGGCTTCGTTCGCCTGCCGCCGCCTTTGAAGTGCTTTTGCCATCGATGAGGCAACTTTGAAGCATTTTGTAGGTTAAACTTGTGGGCGACACAGCTGGTGGGTGTAATCACATATCTGTGTATACATATATAAAACTGTAGCTGGTGATTTCCCTGCTACAGGAAGACAATCATCGATATCACGTTCCAGTCAAGTGTAAATGGCTTTTCCATTTAATTGCTCCAAATTTCCAAATGCGTTTGCCAAAACGTAAAAAGAAAACGACAAAACGGAAGGAAATGCGAATTGCATTTCCAATGTTTGCTTTCCTCTACGCCACACGCCTCTCTCCTATCTCCTATCTCCACTCTGCGTTGCACATATTTATGCTGATTTATTATTCCATTATTGCAGCGATTTTTAATTTGTGGCACGCACACAGTGTTGTTCGATCATTGTGCAATGTGTGTGCTGCCAAAAGGCACTGAAAAGCCAACTAAAACTTGATACTTTTCCACATTTTTGGCTGTGTATTCTGGCATTTTTTACATTCACTTTTGATGCCGCGGGAAGCAGTGGGCAAGCCTTAAGCAGCTGTTCTTTATCTGCTCTTGCTGCTACTACTTCAGTTCTCCTGCACACCTCTTTCTCCCGTCTTCTTTTCTGCATTTTCTTTGTAGTCTTTTCTTACTAATTATGTGCTGCCTGGCATGCAGTCGCCGCCCTACTCCAGCTCTGCCAAAACTTTCATATGCATTCGAGTGTTTTATTGTATGTTAATTAAATTGCTGCCACGTTCATTCCATTCCATTCCATTCCATTCCAAACCAAACCAAACCAATTCATTACGTTGCGTTTCGTCCGCCTGTCTGGCTTGCTCTTTCTTTCTATTCGTTTCTTAGCGCTGAGGCATACATATTTGGACATTAACTAATTGCTGGCAGGGCGCTGCGGTAATCAGGCTTGCGAAACCAATGAGAGGGGAGTGATCGCTGCTCTGTGAAAGTGTTTCTTGCAGTTCCAGGGTACGGTAACGTACGCGAATCTCTATTACACATTCCATTACGTATACGCACAGTGGGCCCAACGAGTTGTCTGGGTGGTCGCCAACTGGCAACTGGCAACTTGCACTTCAACTTAACATTGAGCGAGCGAGTCAGCAAGCGGACAAACGGACGGGCGTTGTCCCTGCAACTCTCTGCCAAACGAAACATAATTTTTTGGCCAGACACAAAAATATGTCGACGCTGAGAAGTTGCAGCAGCAGCAGCAGCAACACCAGGAGCAACTCCAGCTCCTGTCCAAAGGCGGTTGCATAAAATTTAACAATTTTATAATCTCGATTTGGTTGAAACTGGTAAATTTCATAATATCCGGTTAGAGCGCGCTTGAAAAGTTGTTACTTTGTGTTGCATCTAAGGCGGCAACGTGGCAGTCTGCAGACAGCAGGAAAAACAAAACTCAGCGCCGGAGTAGACCGCCAAAAATGACAGCAATTAGCGAGCAGCGTGGAATAAGGTAAAAGTATTTAACCTACTTTGCCAGGTCCTCCTGCTGGCTGCTGGCTGCTCCTCTCCTGCCTGTTTTTCGATGTAGGAAGCAGCACAGAAGCACAGACATTTCCAATTGCCGCCTAATTAATGAGCCACAATCACACACACACAGCCGACACTTGCTTCATGGGAAAAACTCGAACAATTTCCTTGACCAGCCGCTCCTGCCCACCCAGTGGGAAGTGTGAAAAGCTGTCAAATTAAAATGATTAACAATTACTCGAGGGAGGGATGGGCAATGCATCTGCGAATGCAAAACGTACATATTTTGATTGGGCAAATGAGACACATATCTCGCTGGAGTTGGCTTTTCCGCGTGTGTTGACACAGAGAGAGGCTGGAGAGTGTCGCTCGACTGTCTCAACTGCCACATGATATGATTATGTGATTTGGCAATTTGCATTTAATTAAATTTCATCAGCTATTTATTATGTCAACGGCAGACGACGGCAGTCGGCAGTGCAACTGCCAAGCTGCTTAGACTTTTCGCGGGCGGAGTAGCCCCTTGGGTGAGGGTAGCAATTGCCTTGGCGCCTTGGGTGTTACCGCACCAACAGAAAAAAAATCCAACTGAATATTATTTGTTACCGTTGAAAGGCTTTTCAGATTATGCTGCGAGCAGCCAGCAGGCAGGTTATGTCACGTGCACTGCATAATCCATGCCTGATAATGATGATGATGATGATGCTGGGAGTGCGGATGAGCGCGGGAGTTGTGGTCGAGTGATTGAATGCAGAATGCAGAATGCAGAATGGCAAATGGAAGCTGGCAGGGCTAAGACAGAAGACAGTCATAATTTACTTTGCTGACTAATTAAAAGATTAAATGCTGATTGCCTCCAATGATCCTCCAATGACGATCGATATTTGATCAATCAGCGGTAAAGCGCCGTCACACGCCATCACGCATCACGGACTGATTTTAGCGGCATTAACTTGTTGCTGCTACGGACTGATGTTTCCGTTGCGTTTTTAAGTTCAATGTGCGCTGGCAATTAGTGGAATATTTTTGCCATTTTCCTCTTGGCCACACAAACACTTGCCTGCATATATGTATATTTTTCAGTTGAAAACCGGCCATTCGCTTTTTGGCTTCAAATAAATGAATATAAATTGCAAGCAATCGAATAAATACAAGAAGCTCCCACAAATGTATGTAATTTTCAATTACAGCAGCAGCAGCAGCAGCAGCAGCAGAAAAACTAACATTTGAGCATACAACAATCGCTGCTGCTACTGCTGTTGCGTAAGTTGCAAGCTGCATAAAAGGATAACCATTAAAAGAGCAACATCTGAGAGAAGCAATTCCCACAACTATTTTGGCAAAGATGCACGCGTCCGCTGGCTTGTTAAGTTGCAAGGTTTTCCTTTTGCTTGCCCCCCAGACTGCGGCGGCTCTAATAAATATGAAACAATGAGACAAAAGTCAAAGTTTGCTGCTGTTTGTGTGCCATTGTTGCTGCTGGTACAATGTTTGCCAACAATCACTTAAGGCAGGCCAAAGTCTTTAGCAGGGCATTATACTTTATGGCAGAGGTTTGTGGTGCTACACAGAAGGAATTTTCGATGAGGGATTTAGTACTTTGGCGAGGGAGCAAGTCAGGCATAGAACTGTCTGCTAAATCATCAGGAATCATGGGAAGAATGAGCCAGAAATAGGTGCAAATATCCACTCCCATAAAGCAATCAGCGCAGCAATCAATCCTCAAGAGTATCTAATGCTTCGGTCTACGCAAAAGCAGCCTTTCTTTTTTTAAATTTCGTTTTTGTTTGGGTTTGTTTGGACGATGTCGCAAATGTATGGCAGAAATCTCAGACAGCAGCAGCAGGAGCAGTTCAGTCGGCCAAGTTAATGCATGTACTAAATGTCCGACGGTAAATATGAGTTACTAGGTAATTGCTTGGCCCCTGCTTAACAACAGCTGTTACGAACGACGAACAGGCGCACAGGCCCAGGCACATAACAGCCGCCACTCGCATTTTGACTTTTCACTTTTGTGAGTGGGTAACGGGGTATGGTTATGGGAATGGGAATGGGAATGCAATTGATTGAGTGGCTCTGGGTAAAAGTTACCCACCACCAGCACCACCAACTATATCTAAACTATAACTAACCAAAGAAATTAACACCTGCCCCGACCGGAGTGGAGGCAAAGACAAAGCTTCAATGAGCAAACAAAATGAAAAAAAGCAAAAACTAAGCACAACAAATATTAGAAATTTTTGAGGCGATAACTGACAGCGAAAAAGTGAACCAAAAAAGAGGATAAACGAATTTTTGATGCACTGCAAAATAAATTTCAACATAGAAAAATTTAACTATCCATTTTTAGTGCTTAAAGCCACATACCTTCAACCCATATACCCCGCTGCCAAAAAGTGTATGGTAAAAATCTAAAATCCTCCAGCTGAAGCAGCCTTAAAATTGTATCAGCATTGCGCTTCGACGAATTGCCAAATGCCTCCTTGTGCGCCTTTGGTATGCCATGACGACGACGACGACGACGACGACTTCAACTCTGCTGCGAGTCGACTCGAGTGTGGCATGTTGACTTGCGTTATATTTTCCACCTGCTGCAACGGCAACGCTGTACACAAAAAAACCAACAAGTAAACTAAACACACAAATACACAGAAAAAACAGGAGACGTAGACCCCAAATCGTGGGCCATAATTAAGCATTTATTTTATTTGCCATATTTCTTGTGCTGCTTTCGGGATTTACACGTACTGGCGGATTGGAAGCGGATTGGTAATCATCATGAAAAATGTTTCTTTTTATCCATACCCATCCCCGTCCCGTCCCGTCCCGCGGCGTCGCTTCACGTTTTCAGTTTTCGCTTCTCATGTCTCTCGCAACGTTGTCCAACGTTGTCCGACCATAATATAGCAATTAAAACTGTGTCTGTCTTCAAGAGTACATCAACCTAATGTCACTCGTTGCGATTCATTTCGCTTGCTGTGCATCGATACGTATCGAAGTGCAGATGCAGGACGGATGGATGGATGCTATGCAAAGTGGTTAGTTAAAGTCCAAGACATGAAACCCAAATATTTCCTTAACATATTGGCCAACAAGTTGCTCAAAGAGAGGGTTGATGGGAATTGGTTTAGGTGGGTAGGAAAAACTGCTGCTGTTGGCTCTACAAATAATTATTTCATTCAACAAAACGACAACAAATGTCTGAACAACACTCGAACTGGAGGCCTTGAAATCGGAGACCCAAAAAGCGACACAAAATGCACGCTTCGATGCATAATTAGCTTTGAGCGAAGTAGAAGATTGACGAAAGAGCCAACCAATTGGTTAATTTCCCACTGCAATTGTGGCACTTAACTTTGATCCGTAGTACAGTCCGTGGCGTGCAATGTAAGACCCAGAAAAGAGCTGAGAGAAAAACACTTCTTTTTATGTCCGACAATTAAATGTTACAAAATTGGGGCAGGCCAAGCTGAAGCGCCTGCAGAGCCAATTCAATTCAGTTTACCACTTACGAATTACGTTTAAAAGTGAATGATCAACCGGAGGCTGTACGTAATAGAAGGTTGCCCCCGCAGCTCCCCCCGCCAACCAAATGCCCGATAAAAGTTGCCCAGCAGCAGCCACGAAAAATCATCTAACCGATTATTTGGGTCAAACTGCGTTCGAAAAATCATTCGGCGGGTTGCCAGCAATGCAAATAAGCGGAGAGTTAACCAAAAAATATTATTAACAAACCATTTCAAACGTCAGCCTGGCTGGCTGTCAGCGATGTTGCAAGTTCCTCCCCCCCCCAATCCATATCCCGTATACAGTGACGACTTATCAACGCCATCGAAGTGCTGCCACTGCCAGCGAATGCGTCACTAATGACACACAAAGAGTCCTGCACCACAGTGCAACAGTCCAACAAACACACAACTTGCAATTCCAAACAATGGCAAACAAAGCGAAAGAGAAGAAAAAATAAGGAAAAAACTGAACTGTTTTACATTTGAGGCGCCCCACCGCTGCTCGCTCACCTGGCGCTGCGGCCTAAGTCGCTGCTGCTGCTGCTGCTGCTGCCGCTGCTGCCACTGCCACTACCATTGCTGCTGCTGCTGTCGATTCACTTTCTTCGTAACCATATAAAAGCGGCGAATTTTCGTTGCAAGCACATTATTCAGTTGTGGAAAGTCGTTGCGTGCAGCTCGTGGCATCTCAACAAAGTCCCCCAAAGTCTCCAGTTACATTTTGTGTGTTCCTTTGTGATCTCGAACGATAAGCGAACTCGACAAAAACCCCAAATTAAAATGGCATTCAAGGTGAGCAGCGGCAGCCAAAGGATTAAGGATATTCAAAGTGTGCACAAAGAACTGATAAAGGATATACTATGTGCCAAAAAGAGATCGCAACGATCAAGTGAAAGAAGTGAACAGAAGCAGTGCATGTGGCTATATAAAGAAAGGATATTGGGTTCAACATTTATATGAAGTGGTGGTGTGAAAAATTAAAGATTCATTGGGTATACAATTTGGGAAGAATCTCTCAAATAAACTGTATTAAAGCAGTCCTTGGAAGGGAATATATAATTAATTCGTACCAATCAAGACTGTTTCTTAAACACATTTTTAAAGAGAATATAACAGACTTTACAGGGAATAGTAATCTCCTGCTGTGAGGGAATTCTTTTAGATTTTATAACGTATCACACTTAGACCCACTCCCCCGAAACTGCCACACGTCTCAAGAGTTTGTACAGCATTGTAGACAGCAAAGACCCCAACGAAACCACAAAGAAAAGAGCCACAGTAAATACGTAGTCAAACAATAGCTCAAGTCAGGCCACAGCAAACACTTCATTAAGGCACTAACCACAAGACAAAAAAGTAATAAAAAAAGAGCTCAATTATGTGCATTACTGGTAAATGCAGCCATTACATGGACAGGCCAGTGACAGGCAACAGACCGCCCCCCACTAATTGCAACAGCTGCAAATGCTGATGCTAATGTTGGGTTGTGAACGAAAACAATTAGCCAAGATCTTCGTTTAGTTGTTAATTATGCGCTTGCATTGCAGTACCTGATCTTTGCCTCGGCGCTGTGCCTGAGCCTGGCCTATCCGCTGGAGCATCAGCATCAGTACTACGACGAGAGCCACGGCTACGAGCACTTGGCCCACCACGAGCCAGAGCCGATACATGAGTATGGACAGCATCATCAGATTGAGCGCATCTCGCTGGGCGAGGAGCATGGACACCACGAGCAGGCCCACTATGAGACCCACGAGCATGAGCACGAGGACGAGCATGTGGATTATTATGTGAGTGGACGAGGATACACTGGGTAGCTAATGGTTGTCTCTTGCATGTTTTATAGGCACCTCCCAAGTATGCCTTCAAGTATGGTGTCAATGACTTCCACACTGGCGATGTCAAGTCACAGCATGAGACGCGCGATGGCGACACCGTCAAGGGCCAGTACTCGCTGGTGGAGCCCGATGGTTCCATTCGCACCGTGGACTACACTGCCGACAAGCACAATGGCTTCAATGCCGTCGTCCACAAGACTGCACCCGTGCACCATCATGAGGAGCTGCACGAGCAGCATCACTACTAGACGAGACGCGACGAGACCCGCAAAGGACAGGCCCGTAGACTACGTTTAACTTTGCACTAGAGTTAGCCAAATTCAGCCTCATCAGCCAAACAGAACAGAACAGACATCCAGAACGATCGAACGTGAAATCAGCTTCATATCTCGTAATTAGGAAACATCAGCGCACACACACATGCCACATGCCACATGCCACATGCCACAAGCCCCAAATGGCAAAAGGGGATGCCCAATCTCTTCCCTTGTGGTCATGCCTCCGCCCCCCTACTTCATAATCATTTGTACTCATATATATTTGTATTTTATTCTGTGATAGCGAATAATAATTTCTACGTATATCTTCCGCTTTCAACTGATCCTTAGTCACTCCTGCTCAGACGAATTTATCAATCTGTATCTATAATCTATTTGTATGTCTTCTTGTTAAATCTGTTACAGAGATCAAATGAATGTATTGTAAATTGTGTAATAAAGTGTGAATTATGTACTTTTTATAAAATCAAACAAAAAAACAAACCCACCCGACTACTGGCCATAACTTTAAGCGCCGGGGGCAATCATTGAACTTGGGGTCTTGTCGGAATAGCCACGCCAGTCTTGGATTGAATGACCAAATGTCTGCATCTTGGCCAACTGGTTTATGCGTTTGCAGCAATAAAAACTATTACCAGACATCGTTAGACATATTTTCCGGATCGCAAAACGAGTTGTGCGTTTTGTTTTGATTAAAATTATATAAGCTGCAATTGAAGAGTGGTATTAAAATGCTTCCTAAATGTCCAAAAACCAGGAGTTGGCGATATTTATGACTGGCAACAATACATAAACTCGAAATTGAACAATTAATTAGCTGGTTTACATGGAAATGATCATTTCAACCAAAATGTTTTCAAATTTGGCGCTCATATTCATTACCCAGCACTACTAAATATATATCAATAAAGAACTGACTTCAGTTCCACGTTTCTCTTTGGGGGATATTCTCTCCTATACGTAGGGAATTTAACCTTATCAATTGGATACAACTATAGTTTCAGTTCCTAAAGTCTTCGCTTGCTATTAATATTAAATAGAACATCAAAATCAAGGACAACTATTTATGTTTTACAGTATATTTTAAAAACGAGAAAGTATTTTTCGATATATTTATTCAAATTGCGCGCTCCGATTCGTTTTCCCCAACTGGTGTTTATATCGATAAGCCAGTTCGCGTTAATGTGATAAGAAAAGGGCAGAGTACGGGGCCAAAAAGAAAATATATCAATGAAAACGTAGCCAAAACACCGCAAAATAAACAAAATGCTGGAGAAAAATAAGTACGTGCCGCGGGTCAACCAGGTAAATCATACAAACAGCTTAAGGAGCCAACAAACCAACACCATTCCCTTTCAGATAGACGCAATTTCACTCAACAAAGATATTGCCCGACTGATTCGAGATAATCTGCTGGAGAACCTTCAGGCCATATCGGTGGGTGCAAACAAATGTAAACATAATCCGTGCAACAAATTCAAAACTCTCAATCTCCCCTAGCCCGTGCTATTCATCAAATTCCAACCAGAACTCGATTTGCTCATACAATCTGCGATTTGGTTCGGATCCGTTGGCAAGCGATGCTCAACCTTTGGCCAGCAACTACTTGTCCTAGCCTACGATGCAGAGAAGCTTACTGTTTCCAGGCTGGTCCTCCACTTTGCCCTGACCGTGCTGCCCGGCTATGTGAAGAGCTGGGAGGAGCGAAGACTTTCACGGCGCGTCGAGTGGTTTAGCCAGGCCATAACATGGGCTGAGAACAGCGCCCTGGTGCTGAACATTCTGAACTACTTTCGCTTCCTAAAGACCGGACGGAAGCCCACGTTAATCGACTACTTTCTGGGACTGGACTACATCAGTCTGCGCAATAATCAGCGACGCGATATTGGATACAAGTACCTGACTCGCGAGCTGCTCTGGGGTGGATTTATGGTGAGTATTTCTGCCCTTTCAAGAAATATGGTAACGTAACTTGGAAATGTTCTTTTAGGAAATCCTGGGGCTCGTTCTACCCATCATTAACTTCCGTAAACTTCAAAGGCTGCTGAAATCTTGGACTTCGGGCCAGCATTTTAGCGGCAAGCGACGGGAGATGGACACCAAGGAGATTTTAGCACCAAAGATGATGGTGGGCACAACGTGCACCTATTGCGGTGAACGTCCCACCCTTCCCCATCACATGGGCTGTGGTCATATTTATTGTTATTATTGTTTAAGCGCGAATGTTTTAACTGATGCCAGCTTCTGCTGCACCATTTGTGGTGTTACATGTCCCAAGGATGGTGTGCAAAGTGTGTAAATGTTGAGTATAATTTGCATGCAATGGTTTTGTAAAGATTTTATACTAGTAATTAAGCGAATAATGGGCTGTAAACAACAAATACAAAATATATTTACCATTCCGCCAAATATTTAGACAGTATTGGTAAATTTCAGACAAACAGTGTTGGTAGTTACACAAAAAAATTTATATTGTTGCGCACGAGTACCGAGTTGCGGAAACTAAACACCGAATTTCATCCAATTAAGAACTTCTATAAACATTCGAATAGTTTTAAACGAAACCCGGGAGTGTACTGAACCAGGGAAATCTGCTTGTCAATACAAAACTTTCATCAAAACTTAATAAAAAGGTAAGAACTAGCGCGTTGCGGACTACGTAAAAAGCGCGCGAAAAAACTAAACAGCTGTTGCGTTCGGGGCTTGCGTTGCCACCAAACAAAAAACACGACTGCAAATAATTGTCTTAAATTATTTCACCCATTGAATCCACTTGAAAGTTAGCTTTTAAGATTAGCAAGTTGTTAGTTATTCATAAGCTTAAAATTAATTGGAGTCGCAATATGTTGTTTTGCGATTGGTCAAAAACAGCTGCCCATGGCGATCCGGCAACGCCAGCACTTTGTTATTATCTCATTTTTTCTGCTGCGCACTTCGCCTTTGTCCGTTTTTAGAAGAAAACATTACGCCTAAACATACACTTAAGTTGGTCAGCCAAACCCAAGTATCTAAAAACTATTAATTTCGGTACACATTGCGTAATTGCGGGCAAGAATTCCAAGGCGTCACCCCCGAAAACAAGCAAATTTCAAGAGCAAACAATTAAATTGAAAATCCAAAACGAAACCGAGACAGTGGGCAAACATCACAAAATACTTTGCGACGCGGACCCCAGCCAGCAACAAATTGCATATATATTCGTGGGGCAGCAGCAACAGCAGCTGATTTCACATATCAAGGTCAGTAAGGTGGCGATTCGCAAACAAAAACAATGCGTAATATTGAACAATTCGTTCGTCCAATTTGTCTCTAGCAGAATGCTCGAACTTGAGATTGTGCCCGAGAACTCGATGAGCTGCGATGCCTGGGAGTTTGTCCTGGGCATGCACTTCTCGCAGGCCATCTCCATCATACAGTCGCAGGTGGGGATCATCAAAGGTGTCCAGGTGCTATATTCGGACACAAATCCACTGGGCGTGGACATAATTATCAATCTGCCACAGGATGGTGTGCGCCTGATCTTCGACCCCGTTGTGCAGCGTCTGAAGACAATAGAGGTGTTCAACATGAAGCTGGTGAAGCTGAAATACGGCGGCGTCTACTTCAACTCGCCCGAGGTGTTGCCCAGCATAGAACAGATCGAGCACTCGTTCGGTGCCACCCATCCGGGCGTGTACGATGCGGCCAAGCAACTCTTTGCCCTGCACTTCAGAGGCCTCAGCTTCTACTTCCCCGTCGATAGCAAACTGCACTCTGGCTACGGCCACGGTCTTGGCTCCTTGGTCTTTCTGAACGGTGCCTCGCCGGTCGTGTCCAAGATGTCGCTCTACGCTGGCAGCAATGTCGCGGAGAATCGAGCTCCTGCACTGCCCCTGGGCTGCTACCACAGACAAATGTATCTCGAATCGGCCACAGTTCTGCGCTCCTCCTATGGCCACACCAAGGGCCTGAAGCTTAATCTCTTTACGGAGGGTTCGGGTCGTGCCCTGGAGCCACGTCGGCAGTGCTTCACGCGCGAGCTGCTCTTTGGCGACAGCTGCGAGGATGTGGCCACCAATCTGGGTGCGCCCAATCGCATATTCTTCAAGAGCGAGGACAAGATGAAGATACACAGCTCGAGCGTGAATAGGCAGGCGCAGAGCAAGCGCAGCGACATATTCTTCAACTACTTCACGTTGGGCATCGATGTTCTCTTCGACGCTCGCACACAGACCTGCAAGAAGTTCATTCTGCACACCAACTATCCGGGCCACTTCAATTTCAACATGTACCATCGCTGCGAGTTCCAGTTCCAGCTGCTGACGGACCACCAGCACAGTGATAACCTCGATCTGATGACGCCCTCAAAGCAAGACTATGTGAATATATCTGCCTACACCAAATGGGACGAGATCAGCGGCTCCCTCTCCACGTCGGAGCGGCCAGTGGTGTTGCATCGTGCCAGCTCAACGAACACCGCAAATCCCTTTGGATCCACCTTCTGCTATGGCTATCAGGATCTTATCTTCGAAGTGATGCCCAACAATCATATTGCCTCTGTGACGCTCTACAACACAGCGCCGCCCCGGCAGCCCGCCCACACCTGGCAGCAGCACAAAATGCAGGACATTCGCCTGACAGTGGCCTAGAGTATAGTACAGATGGGCCCCAGTACAGGTCTGTAGCTGCTATGTGGATGCGGGCTCTATGATGCTTTTGTGTGAATGTGAAGGAAGGAATGATCGTCTTATCGTGTCTTGTGTTTTAATCTATAAGCTACAACAATGATCTAACCCTAGGCATAACGTAGATACATGCATATATATATATATATATAAATATTATATATAGAATTTCTATTGTAGGCTAAGCGAAACTCATCAGACGACTCATCATCTCTGACTACGTTCATTCTGCGGTATTCCATTGTGTTTAATCGTTTCAATTCGGACGAGACGGGACGCGACGCGACGCATTAACTGACAATTAAGTAGCCTCGTACTTTTAACAAATTGCATGTCGTTATAAATATTTCAATACTTTTAAGCTCAAACCCATGTATTTCTCTTTAAAAAAGAAACAAACAAAAATCGACAAAAAAATATACATAATATATATAATTATTATAAGGTTTCGACAAGACATCTGATGGCCTTTTCTTTTTCTACTATTATAATCCCCGATCGGCTCTTAATTCCAGCAGTCGTTTAGCATGCCAGAACAAGCCACAGAACAGGAAACAGTAGCTGTGCCACAGCAGAAGGTAGTGCCTGAATATGATCCCAAGATTCTGCCGGACATGCTGCCCGTTTACTACAGGCGTTTATTTCCGCATCAGCCCTTCTACCGCTGGCTCTCCTACGGACTATGTAAGTGGATACACTTCTTCCTCTACGTAAACCTATACCCTAATCCTCTCTTTTCTATAGATGAGGATGGCGTCTTTTGCAACCGCGAGATATCCTTCACCTTGCACGATGACATCTACATTCGCTACCTCTGCTTTGACACACAGGCGGAGCTGGAGAAGGAGATTTGCTCGCGTAATCCGTTCAAAATCGACATTGGACCCGTGATGCACACCAGGCCCAAGAACTTTCGCATTGTCCCCGGCGGTCTGTCCCCGGTGCAACGTGAACTGGTCTTCGATATTGATATGACGGACTATGACGAGGTGCGAACCTGTTGCTCGGGTGCCGAAGTGTGCCTCAAGTGCTGGAAATTCATGGTACTAGCTGCACGTGTCTTGGATCCCGCATTGCGCGAGGACTTTGGCTTCGAGCACATACTCTGGGTGTTCTCCGGGCGTCGTGGCATCCATTGCTGGGTGTGTGACCATCAGGCGCGTCACTTGGATGGCCGCGGACGCTATGCCGTGGCCGAGTACTTGAATATTATAAGCTACATCAACTTTATGGGCAGCAACTCGCCGCGATGTCAGATGGGAGAACGTCCACATCACAGCTTGAGGCGTGCCTCGAAAATCATCGAACCCATGTTCGAAGAGATCATACTGGAAGATCAGAATCTCTTTGGCACGCCCAAGGGTGTCAATAAGCTGCTGCACATGATCCACGATGACGGAGCACGCACAGAGTTCGAGGGCTATCTGCAGAAGAGCCACGAAGATGGTGCTCATTCCAGATTGATTTGGGAGAGCTTCGTTAAGTATTCCAATTCTATGCGCACATCGGCGGCCAATGTGTGGAGTCGCAAGCTGAAAAACATTGTCCAGGAGGTGCAGCTGTGCCTGCTCTATCCCCGTCTGGACATCAACGTGACCAGGGGATTCAATCACTTGCTCAAATCTCCATTCTGCATACATCCAGCCACGGGCAAGGTCTGTGTGCCATTCAGCGTCAACGCTGTTGCCAAATTCGATCCCACCACGGTGCCCACCATCACGCAGCTGCTGCACGAAATCAATGCTTTTGATGACAAGACCAAGAGCTACATGGAGGCCGCCGAGGACAAGAGTCGCATTAAGGATCACAAGAAGACGAGCATGTTCAAGGGCGTCGTCGTGTTTGAGGAGTTCCTGCGCAAGCTGGAACGCAGCAACAAGGAACGCACCAACGCCTTGCAGTTCTAAAGAGATAGATCGGAAGGAATTGCGGCTTTTGATGTTACTTTTATTTATGTATTATTATGATTAGGCTACCAACAATAAATAGACTAAACGATTGCCCGTGAGCTCACTCTCCGACTCTCACATACAACTCAGCCGCACCTGCGGCACCACATTGCCGTCCTTGTCGTTACAGTTGACCTCAACCTCCAGTTGAAACAGTCCATTCTCTGCGGCCGCTGTGCCAGGCAGGCTGGCGAGTATCTCCTTATCGCCAGCTCGTATCTTAAACAGGGATGACTCATTCGGACCATCGCCGCCAGCCTCGCCCGACTGTGGAAGTGTTATTCTGATTTTCTGTGGCAATACGCTGCCTTTGCCCAGGACCAGTGTGGCATTTGCCTCATCGTCGCCGTGCCAAATGTACAAATCATCCTCGACGAGCACACAGTCGTCGGCCTTCTGCAGCTGCTGCTCAAGGGGATCGAGTAGGCAGACAGCCTGACGGGCACAACCAATGGCCACCACCTCGTCCGCCGAGTGGCTGTTGTGCAGCTTGGCATCGGGGAAGCGCGAAGCCACTGCCGCCTGAAGCTTGGGAATCTGCATGGTGGCCCCGAGCAGAACAATGTGGTCGACGCGCTTCAGCTCCGGGCGCTGCTGCTGCGCCTGTTCGATGCATTCGCCCAGCTGCTGCATCAGGCTGTTGATCACCGGCTGGATGAGGCTCTCGAAGCGAGCACGCGACATCTGGGCATTGAAGTCCACGCCATCCATCAGGGAGTCGATGTACAGCTGGGTGGAGGGCATCGTCGTCAGGGTGTGCTTGCAGTTGGCAGCTGCTGTGCGGATTTTGGCCAGCGAGCGACGCGACTCGTGCGGATCCAGTTTGTACTTCCTTTTGAACTCGTCACAGATGAACTGCACCAAGGCCTCGGTGAACTGGCGGCCACCGATGGCGAACGGACCGAAAGTGGCCAGCTCAATGAAGAAACCATTCTGCACGGCATACAGCGCGAAATCGCTATACAGGCCACCGCACTTAATGGTCAGCACATGCTGGCGCGTCGCCAGCTCATCCTCGCCAATGTTATAGCCCAGAACGGCCGCCGTGGGCTCGGCTATGATCTGAGCCACGTGGAAGCCGGCAGTTTCGGCAGCGTCTGAAAGCAGCTTGAAGGCCTCGGCGGGATAGTAGCTGGGTATGGAGAGCACGGCAATGGGAGCCTGATCCGCATCGGTATGATATTGATGGGCCAGCTCCAGTTCGGCGCGCAGCAGCTCCATCGTGACCTGGTAGGCACTCAGCTCTTTGGTCACAATTTTGTCATCTTGGTCCTCCTTATCGGAGGGCACCGCGTGCTCCATGCGGAACACGAGCTCCTCCTTGTCAAATTCGCAGGGAATATCTTTTAGGGCATTGCCAAAAATCTGCTCGGTCAAGTGCTCTTTGGGCTGTAGCAGCTGAAAGCTGTGTGCCACCGCCTGCTTGGGCCGTGTGGCCATCTTCTGTTTGGCCGTCAGACCGCACTCGATCTCGGAGTCGCCATCCCACAGCAAACACGCTTGCGAGACACGATCGCCCTGCTTGTTCGCGATGACTTCAGCCTTGCCATCGGCCTTTACGTAAGCAATGCAGAGGGTGCTGTTGCCAATCTTGATGCCGAATCGTGGCCACATCGCGTTTTAGTTATTTAAGTCAGACAAACACAGGGGAACTTATTAATAATTTGGAAAATCTTAGTGTAATGTAATCTAAATCACGCACGTTTTTTCCTCCACGCGCGGTAGTGTTGTTAGGCTGTTAGTGCTGGCTAGCGATTCACAAATTGACGAGCAGTACTGTGAAACGCGCAACAGCTGATGCGTATCGACATGCACCTCTGATTATGTGCAAGTTTTACAGCACTAGGTGGGAAATATGTAAACAAAACAGTTGGGGAAAATTGCAGAAAAATCATTAAAATCCACCCAAAAAACTATTAACTGAGGGTGTGAGGGATACACTGAAGCTGCAGTGTCTTTCGCACAGGTGAAACTACCGAAAGTTGTCTGTTTAGTGGAGTGTAGAGGAGTCTGGTGTCGGCTAACGAAAAATCTATTTGCAAAGGGTGCCTATCCGATCACATCCGCGCGACGGTAGCAAACTGTTGACCCCGCCAGGCGCCACCCCACGAACACACAGAGAAGTAGGTCTTGTGGCACATACATGCGCATATATATGCAACGCAATCAACGCCCCCAAACCGTCCCGATTCGTCATCGATTTACGCGGTGGCACAAGCGACACAATGGATTGGACGTTACTCCGCTGAAAATAAAACAAACCTAATTGATACCGAACGAAAGTGATTGGAATGTTGCCCTTGATGCAGAAATAGAAATTGATTTGTGTACCTGCTCGAAAATGCGCATTTCATAAGTTGAGCTGCAGAACTGCAAAAAAGCGAAACGAAGACTCCACACACACACGCACACACACAAACACCCAGCGAGGGAGAGAGAAAAAGGAAAGCGAAGTAAACCCTCTCGGCCCTAAGGCAAACTTGAGCGACCACAATGGATGATAATCTCAGCACAAAGTCATCGGAGTCCTCGATAACGACCAGCGGGGAGTACGAAATAGTCACCGACAGCAATGTCGCCAGTCCCACGGATCAGTCAAAGCGAGCTTTGGCCCAGGAGCCGAAGGCAATAGGCGCCAGCAAGCCGCCCACTTCGCTGAGTGCCCTGGCGCTGTCCTCGCCCGAGGGAGGCGGTGATCGATCCCCGACGCTGGACATGGCACACAATCGCAACTTGAGCGACATTCAGCACGAGATGACGGACGCCCTGCGGGACTTGGAGCTGGAGCGTGGTGTAGGTGAGTACAGCAAGAACTGAAAGCAAAGAAATTCCACGTACCTACAATTTGGGGCGCTCAGTCGTCTGCCAGACACTGTGCGCTGCGCCAACTGTGTACACTCGCCAGCTGAGCGCGCTCCAAATAATTGGAAATGTAAGCGAGTCGTCGATAGTAAGTAAAGCCATCCAGCTGCAATCTTATCTAGCAAAGCTGCGGTCTCCCCCTATGGCAGTCGGTGTCATGGCAACAAATAACAAACAAACGTTGAGTAAACCCCCACCCGTGCGGCAGGCAGCAGACAGAACTTTCAATAAATTCAGTTCAATTATTATTATTCGAGTTGCGCACTTTCCTCGTAATTGTCAATTAACATTTTGAATTTGTGAATTTTGCAGCTGCCGGCGATAAGGCGACACAGCGTGTAACGAATCAACAGCAAAAGTCTCTGACCCTGCCATTAACTGGCACAGGAACAGACGCCGAGATGCGTTTTCCTTGCAACATATTTACGCCCAAGAGCGAGGAGGCTGTGGACGATGCCTCCCACTCGGATGCACACAATCGCGTGGGCCATTCGGTGTTCTATGACTGCATTGATGCGAGTCCTGCCTGTGTGGAGGAGAAGCAGGATGCCATGAAGCCAGAGAAAGGCGATACGACCGACGAGGAGGGTGGGTAGTAAACAATGCTTTAGTCTGCGTAATAATAATCCTTTGTTTCAGTTTCAGAGATCGATCAGGGCTGTACCATTTTCTCGGGCGTCACCTACCTGGGTGCCGCAAACATCAATGCACCCAAATCGGAGACAGATGTCTATCGCATTATGACCGAGCTGAACAGTGGCTCAAAGTCTGTGGGACTTAAGATTACAGTCAGCATTCCCATCTGCTCTGATGGTCTGGTCGTGTGAGTAGATAATTCGCTATCCCTCCCGCCATTGGTTCTTGTGTGATTCATCCAGGCAACTTATGTAAGCATCCCCTTTGCAGGCTGCATGACGCGGAGAGCAATACGATTATAGCGACCTACGAGATTTCCAGCATTATTTTATACTATCGCGGTCCTGTGGATACGGCGGAGAACGGTTGCTTTGCCTTCACATGGCTGCACGGAGATGCTCTGTTCCAGTGCCATGTGTTTCGGTGCCATATACCCGAAGCGGTTAACCAAGTGAGCGGTGAGTCAGCAGCATCTTGCGGGGTCTAGCATGATCTCATTCGCTGTGTTTTGCATTCCTTTGTTTAGCCTGCTTCCAGAAAGCATTCCAAACGTATCCGCCCAGCATGAGCTGCAGCCTCACTTCGGCCGTGGACATGGCCAACTCTGTGACATCGGATGTGAGCGGAAATCCACTCAACACGGCTGGCTACGAGTTCATCGTCTCGCTGGAGATACGCGAGAAGGTGGCCAAGAACTCGTATGCAGCCGTACCCCGGGATCGGGGCTGCTTCAAGCTGCGCGCAAATACGGATAAGGAAGTGTGCATTACCGTGAAGCAAACGCCTTCGAATGTGCTCCAGCCGCTGTACATTGAACGCTGTTTTGGGGTGCTCGTAGCCCCAGGCAAACTGGTTGTCCAGAAGGATATGCATCTGATTGATCTGCTCAACATGGGCTATGTGACAGCGCCAGGAGCACCAGCAGCTGGAGGAGCAGGAGCAGCAGCAGCATCCGCTGGTGGTGGTGGAGCAACGGCAGAGTCCGAGAATAATCTGGCGCTAAATGCTTGCCTGCCGTATGCCATCCGAGCCGAGTGGAAGGCACAGGAGAAGGCCTTCGAGCAGTTGAATCTAGAGACGTCCAAAACCAATCTCACCGTGGCCGTGGACATTGTGATGCGTGGCATCCAGGAGCCCGTTCGGTTCGTGATTGAAACCCCAGTGACCATACAGTCGGCCAGCGAGATGCGCATCATGGATCACTTCATGTCCAAGCGCCCAATGACGCTGCGCTTCTACTTGCATCTCAAGCGCACCGATGAGCTCAATTGGAAGGTGAACAGCATAGATCCCTCCGAGGAGATCACGGATCATCCGGGCCCACATGCAGCCTCCTCGTCCCTGCTGAAGATGGGCATGAATAATCTTTCGCGCATTGTGCGCAGCACGTCCATTGCCTCCATTGAGGATGATTGCCCCACAGACTACAGCAGTGATGGCGATGAGCCGCTCCTTAGCGGCACTGGCGAGGTATCTAAGGACTGCTCGCAGGATACGCTCGATGAATGGGATCCCATACTGCGCGAGTGGGACAGCGAGAAGAGGCCCAAGAATCTGGCTCCGCTCGTGCGGCTCGGTGTACCAGAGGCATTGCGTGAGAAGATCTGGCAGAAGCTGGCTAGCGTCGAGGGCAAAGTGGAGATGAACGACATGTACAAGATTCTCATCACCAAAGTGAGTTGCTCTCTAAATTTTTTGCGCTGTAAATTCCATTGTGAAACTTTTGCAGGAAACCAAATGCGAGACAGTCATCCAGCGGGACATCCATCGCACTTTTCCGGCGCACAAATGCTTCAAGGAGACGGGTGGCTCCGGCCAGGATGCGCTCTTCAAGGTGTCCAAGGCGTATGCGGTGCATGACAGCGAGGTTGGCTATTGCCAGGGCCTCAGCTTCATAGCAGCCAGTCTGCTGCTGCATGTGAGTAATTTCTGAGTATTTCTGGAATGGCAATCGATAATAAATGTCACCTCCAGATGCCCGAGGAAGATGCCTTCTGTGTCTTGGTGGCCCTCATGTATGACTACGGGCTACGCGATCTCTACAAGGCAGGCTTTGAAGTGCTGTATCTGCGGCTGTATCAACTGGAGCGGCTCATCAAGGATCAGCTGCCGAAGCTGCATGAACATTTCACGGCCTGCGGCATTGAGACTCACATGTACGCCTCCCAATGGTTCCTCACTCTCTACACGGCCCGCTTTCCGCTCTGCTTTGTGTTCCACGTGCTGGACGTATTCCTACTGGACGGTTTGCCTGTGCTCTTCCAGGTGGCTGTGACACTGCTGTCAATCTGTGAGTCTGACCTGCGGCAGCTCGATTTCGAGGGCATTCTGAAGTACTTCAGGGTAACGCTGCCCAAGAAGTGCCGCAGCTCCAGCCAGGCGCGCAAAGTGATGAAGCAGGCGTGCGAGCGGAAGATAAAGAAACTGAAGCAGTACGAGGAGGAGTTCCTGCTGAAGAAGCAGCACAAGGAGCGCCTGGAGAAGGAGGCGCAGATATATGAGAATCGTTTCGGCGAAGAGCGACGCAAGCTGCAGGCGGAGATCGAATCGGTGACACAACAGCTGGCCGTGGCCAATGAGCGGGCTGTGGATAAGGAGAAGAAGCACACCGGCATCATACAGGAATACAAGCAGATCATTCAGCGACAGGAGCAGGACATGAACACGCTCAGTGAGACGTTGAGCCAAGTGATGGTGAGTCTCCAGACATCTGACTGATATCAGACCTGATTAATGGTTTCCCTTTCCATCCAGAAAACGGTTTGCCAGTGCCAGCATTGCCTGCGGCAAGTCAATGAATTTGGCAACGATAACTCACGGTCCGGCGAAGGGCGCTCCATCCAACAAACGGATGCCATGCGAAATGCAAATGAGGCGCCACTAGGGCCATTGGATCCACTGAATGCCGCCTCGCAGCGCATACGCGAACTCGAGCTGGAGCTGGCCCAGGCCAAGCTGGCGCAGGTGGAGGCCGAGTGCAAGAACCAAGATCTAAACCATCAGCTCAATAACACACTCAGCGAGCTGCAGACCAATCGCAACAGCTGGCAGCCGTGGCTCTCCAAGACCTTTAATACGCTGCAGGAGAAGGTGACAACACGGAGCGGAAATCGTGACAATGGCAGTGGCGGACCCACGCCCACATTCCAGTCATACATGGGCCAGCCACCAACGACTCTCAGCGAGGCCAGTTCGCCCAGCGGCAATCAGGTAACATAGGGATATCCCCATCCATCCATGACAGGACTAACGCTGGAGCGTCCACCAGTTTTCAAATGTATAATTTTGTATATTTAAGTTTTTCCACTGGGTATTTATCTCTCAGAGGAATTATTTCATGTTTAATTTATGGCACACATCCCATGACACGCACACCACACGCATACCCCTTGAAGAATCTTATTTTGTATCCTAGCCATATGGTAATCCATTTGTTGACTATATCGAAGCATTGACCCCCCATCTACCTGCCTGCTGTTTCAGTTTATAAACCTTTTGTTTTGTTCTTATTAATAGTATTGATATTTTTGCTGCTGCAAATAAAACCCTCCCACTATATTGTATGTATATTTAATCGATTAATTCTTATGATTCTGGCTGCGTTCAGGAGTACAAAACTTTTGCATTTGCCTCCGTGGGTGGCTCGCCCAAGTTGCCCAGCAAATTTCAGGCCACCAAGTTGCGCAACAGCATCGACAGCCTGAGGAATATTGTGGCGCCGCTGGAGACGGGCAAATCGCTGGCCGAGAATCTCAAGCAACAGCTGCAGCAGTAGAAGAAATCGGAACGTGGAACGTGCAACCTGGCTAGCAGGCGCCTCCCACAGCATTGACTGCACGCTTTGGTATTATTTATCATATACTACGTCTATATAGTGCATAATATATAGTACATAACATACCATAAATAGTACTCCACATATACAATGCATAGAAAGTGTGAATTTTTGTTAGTTTCTACTACGATTTGTATGATTGTTTTGCACCTTTAAGGCAGCCCGCCCACACCCAATACCCACGACTAAGCCCAGAGAATATCAAACTCACAGTTTGACAAGCACTGGCTGAAGCTACACGTCTAACGCTAAATATATAAAATAAATAAAATATCAACTAAAATGCTAACTAAATGGGGGTTTTGCTTTATTCCACAAGTGGATTATATAATATAGAGACTTCCCCACTCCAGTAGGACCCACCCAGATCTTATATAATACTAACGTTCCCATCCCACTTCCACTCCCTTTCCAAACCTCTTTTATATGAAAAATAAACGCTGCAAGCCTTCCCCTCGTTTCTGCGGTGTGGACACCGCCATGGTGGCATAATTCATCAGCAAATCGGCCGAGGAGCTGCGCTGTATGAGGCGACGTCTGCCGGCACCACGAGTATTGCTAAAAGATCGACTTCTCACATGTCCACGTCGACGCTTGGGTCGCTGGGAAACAGTTCCAAAGCAGGACACTTGCTGCTCCGCCTCACTCTCGCTCTCGCTCTGCATGTGGGGCAACGTTTCCTCCGTCATGGGTGACTGCAGCGTTTCATTGGAGCAATCCACTTCGGGCGTCACCGTCTGTGATTCGCTTTGATCTCCAGCGGCGCCAAGTCGTGCCCGCTTCCCAATGCTGTAGCTGGAGGGATCACGGGAGAGTTCGGAGCCAAAGTTGCTGCTGCTGCGCTCGTGAGGCATATTGGTGCCGTAGCTGAGAAAGTCCGGATACGGCAGATGCAGCTCGTGGGCCGGCGTGAACGCCTCCGGGGAGGAGAAGGTGTGCCGCAGTCGCTGCACCCGATAGCTCGGACCATGCGGCGGCTGATGCACCAGCAGCCAGGAGCGCTTCAGGTACGTGTGCTCCGTGCAGTTGCTCTGGGACTGGGACTGTTCCTGCTGCGGATTGGGATTATGCTGCTGCTGGGCAGAGGTGAGTGGACTGCCCAGCGTGGTGGAGGGCAAGCCTAGAGTGAGTGATATGTTGAGAGAGTCACCTCCATCTCGGAAAGCACCGTCGGTGCCATCGTCCGCCGCACTGTTGGGCGTCGTTGGCTGCGCCTCCGCTCCGCACCCACCGGCTGTGGGTAGTTCACGCCCAGCGGATAACGGTGGCGGGCTCGTTGAAACCCCCACGGATTGGCGCGTGGCTGATTGGTTCGCTGCTGCTGCCTGGCCAGACGTGCCTGCAGTGCCTGCAATTTGGATTCTGTGGGTAAATTAGCCACCGCAATGGGAGGGAATCATCTGGGAATCGTCTGGGTTTCACCTACCACAGATGGCCGTGGCCAAAAGCATCCGCTGGGCCATTTGCTGGCTCTGTTCTGCATCCTGCGTGGTGTCCGTGGCGGCCACAGCATGGGTCATGGCTGCCGCTGAGGTGCTCGGCTGATCCTGATCCCTGTCCAGGCTGCAGCTGTGCTGCAACGGCAGCATGGACTGCACGGTGCAGTTGCTGGGAGCGCGAGTGCAGCTGCGATCCCTTGGCTGGCGACGGGCACGACGCTGGCGCCGTGGCTCCCGCAGCTCCTGCTGCATTCCAATCTTGATCACCTCCTCATAGTCGGGCGGTGCCTCGTAGCTGGGCGGCTCATCCGGTGTACGATCCTCATCCTGGCGATCCAGCAGTTCGCTGATGGTCTGCAAGTGGCTCTGAAGCTCCCGCTGATGCCGCGCTCTCACACCCATTCGATACAGGATCACCATCCAGCCGGAGAGTACGCCAAAGATGCCCAAAGTGCTGACGATGAAGATGCCAGTGGCTGTCTTCAGATCCGGATACTGATCCATCTTGGGGAAGTAATAGTTTGGCTTGTGGGAGTACCAGCGACGATCGTGATGCAGATGGGCCCAATCCTCCTCACAGGTGTCCGGCTCATCGCTGCCATCGCCGCAATGATCGAATCCATCGCAGTGCAGACGTATGGAGATGCAATGGTTATTCCCGCACAGAAATTCCGAACCAATATAGCAATCTAAGACACAGGAAACATTGAAGATAGTAGATGTGAAAGGATCCCTTGCGGCACTCACTCAAATAGTTGAAAACGCTGTAGACAATGGCCAGCTTGGAGGGCATCCCAAAGACCCCACGCAGGCGTATGTAGTAGCCCGTGAGTATGGGTGCAATGTGATTCTCCTTGCTCAGTCCATTGTTGGGCCACATGACAGTCTCAATCTCCACACCGTCGGAGGTGGTGCCCTGGCGTATGGTGAGCTCAGAGCGCGCTGCCATGCCATAGAAGTCGTCCACGCGCAGCGAGATGTGAGTCTTCATCATCATGTAATTGTTGCCCGGCCTGATGATCCAAATGCAATCGAATAGCCGCACATCTGTGGCATTCTCAATCATGTTCATCATGGTGATGGCGCCACCAGGTCCCGTGACCATGCCACCACAATCTGTGGAACGGGTTATAAAACTATTTAGGTAACAGTTCTTAGAGGGGGGGAGAACCACCCAACACAAAGACCTAGAATCGATTGTGTTACCCAACAAGCGAGAGTCTCACCTAGTTTCCACTTAAACGCTTTGCATTGACATTGATATTCGTCCCCCCACAAATAGAACACAAAAACCCAACCCCATTCCGTGTGACCGAAAATCAATATGACAATTGCCTGCAGACCTTCAAGTGCACAACTAATCCAGCAATTATCCCACACTCACCTGTGTAGGGCACTAGGCGCTCCTCTTTGATCTGCTTGGATGAAACGAAGCTCACTTCGGCACGAAAGCCCACGCCAGTGGCAGCATTGCCACGAAACTGCAGCAGCAGGGACTTGCCAATGCTGATGGTGATGGGCGGACGAAAGTGTTCGCCCGTGTACGAGTCCAGCATCTGGCCATTGGAGTCAAAGATCTCCAGGGTGGAGGAGAGACCCAGCTGAAAGTCGGTAAAGTCCAGCCGCACCTGACAGTTGTCCGCCTCGCAGGTGAGTATATGCTCGATGCCATAATCCCTGGGATACGGCATGGGAAAGTACGGTGTGGATATGACTTGCGGCTGGTACTTCGAATTCCCATTGCCCACGATCGACTGCCTGGGCGAACCACTCACAATTCTCACGTTGCCTAGGGAAAGTCCAAGAGTGAATCAACTCCCAGTATATGGAATTCCCATCCTCCACTTACGCTCGGAAAAGTATTGCAGTGAGAAGACATGGGCATTGGTGGCTCTGTAGAAGAACTTCAGCTGCAAGGTTCGTGTCTTGCTGCGAAATACCTTCCCATCGCCACAGAACTCCTGCCCGGAGATGGTGGAATCGTAGGGAGGCTCCGAGAACTGAATATGCTCGCAGGGACACATGCTGGACTTGCCGCCCGTGTTGCCGCAGCTCTTGGAGAAGTTCGCGTGGGTAAAGGTCACGCGAATGACGCACTCGGCGCAGGTGACCAGCTCCAGGTTGCACTGGTACCACACATCCCCTGCCACAGCATCGCTCTTGAAGCCCAGCGGAGAGCTCTACGAAGTGGATGTTGAACTGAATGGATCTTGGAGCTAGCCTTTGGCACTCACTCTATACGCCGTGTTGGTCACATTGCGGGCATGCAGCTCCCCCGCAGGGCTGCCCAGCTCCAGGAAGTGCCGCCTGCCATCCCAGTGATTGCAAATATCCAAATCTCGGTAGCTGGCGCTGGCTGGATAGGCGTCGCCTGGGTAGCAGATCAATGTCAGCACATAGGCCAGCAAGTAGCCATAGGCGACAGTTTGTGCCACCATCGCGCGCTGCTGCTCCTCGTCTGTATCAATGATGACTGGCCAAGTGCCGACACAAGACTGTGCTGGTCCAGTGTGCTGCCAAATCCAATAAGGTTTGGGTGAAGCCTAACAAGTGGACCAACACATAACGTGCCATGCTCTGCCCTATGTGGGTGGGTCTAGCGGCCGGGTTAAAGACCTCTCTCGGGGGGCGCCTCTTGTAGCGGTATAAAAATACATTTATTTGAAATTTCCTTTTTTCGTTAGACGTTAAGGGGGAATATTGAATGCGGATGAGGTCTCGCAGAGACAATGAACATTGAAATGTGCATCGAGGACACAGCAAAGTAAGCCTAAGACATGCACATTTGTGTATATGTATAGTAGATAAGTGTTTAGAGTAGGGGCAACGAGGCGACGCTGAGTGGTTTTTTTTAGAGGTGCGAGGCCTTCAGCTCTGGTTCGGCCAGTCACTTGGCAGCGGCGGCGTTCTTGGCGAGTGCTGCCTCCAGATTCTTGGCCAGTGTGTCCATGAACTCAAAGGTCTCCTGGTAGTCCTTGCGCTCGACAGCGCTGATGCTGCCCTTGATGCAAATGGCCAGATCCTTGGTCATGGCACCGCCCTCGATGGTGTCGATGCAGACCTGCTCGAGGGTCTCGGCGAACTGCTTCAGTGGCGCGTTGTCGTCCAGCTTGGCACGGTGCAGCAGGCCACGGGTCCAGGCGAAGATGGAGGCAATCGGGTTGGTGGAGGTCTCCTTGCCCTGCTGGTAAAAGCGGAAGTGACGGGTGACTGTGCCGTGAGCAGCCTCAGCCTCGACAGTCTTGCCATCGGGACAGAGCAGCACGGAGGTCATCAGACCCAGAGAGCCATAGCCCTGGGCAACGGAATCGGACTGCACATCACCGTCGTAGTTCTTGCAGGCCCACACGAAGCCCCCCTCGGACTTCATGGCATAGGCGACCATATCGTCGATAAGACGATGCTCGTACCAGACGCCGGCGGCCTCGTACTGCTTCTTGTACTGCTTGTTGTACAGATCCTCGAAGATGTCCTTGAAGCGACCGTCGTACTTCTTCAGGATGGTGTTCTTGGTGCTCATGTACAGCGGCAGCTTGCGTTCCAGCGCAAACTTGAACGAGGCGTGGGCAAAGTCCACAATGGAGTCGTCAGTGTTGAACATGCCGAGGGCGACGCCGGGTCCCTTGAAGTCGTTGATAACCTCATCGATGACCTGGCCGTCGTTGCCCTTCCAGGTGAGCGTGAGCTTGCCGGGTCCGGGAACCACATAGTCGACAGCCTTGTACTGATCGGCGTGCGCGTGACGACCGATGACGATGGGCTTCTGCCAGCCGGTGACCAGGCGGGGCACATTCTTGCAGATGATGGCCTCGCGGAAGACGGTGCCGCCGAGAATGTTGCGAATGGTGCCGTTGGGGGACTTCCACATCTTCTTCAGGTTGAACTCCTCCACGCGCTTCTCGTCGGGCGTGATGGTGGCGCACTTGATGCCCACATTGTACTTCTTGATGGCCTCGGCACAGTCGATGGTGACCTTGTCCTCGGTCTGGTCGCGGTACTCAATGCCCAGATCGAATGTGTGCAGCTCGATGTCGAGGAAGGGCAGGATCAGCTTGTCCTTGATCGACTGCCAGATGATGCGGGTCATCTCATCTCCCAGCACATCCACAACGGGTCCAGCACGAATCTTTTGAGCCATCTGTGCGGACAAACAAAAAAAAGAGCTCTTGAATTTTGGAACAATGGAGACAGTACAGAAAGGAATTAACTTGTGGATGCGATGAGATGAGATGTGTGTGGCTGTGGTTGTGGTGCGCACCTCGCTAACTTTTACACAGTTCTCTCTGATGGCCTTCTCCACGTGAATCTTTTCTTGTTTTGCTTTCTACACACGCAGGGGATATGGGTAGTTAGTGATTAAGAATCGAATGGATGTCTCGACTGACAGCGAGCCAAAGTGAACTTTGATCCGGATAGAACCTACCACAGCGCTGCTGGCGAAGTTCGCTTGGAAGACGGCGCGAATCAACTGCGGCCGGCGGGCAGTCATCAGTGTGGCAGTGCGGCGGATGGCAAACATTTTACTATGCGGAAATTTATGAATGAATTTCGACTGGGAAAGAGACAATATTGTCACCAAAACGAAAGCTAGCACTAATCACTGAACAAAAAAATCTCTCCGGACAAAAGCGGTCGCTGCGACTGCGACGTTGTAACCGTAACTGATAACTGTATGTGCTTTCCGTTAGTTTAGTCGCTCGTTCTGCCTGCTCCCACTGCAATCGGAGTGATTTTACGCTGTTCAACTGTTGCGCAATCGACGTAATCAGAGTACATTGGATTGCCCTGCAGATAAGACTCAATGCTCCCGACTCTGATTAGCTGCTCTCTCACTCTTCTAAGCTCGTTGACGTGCCGCAAACAGTCGTTTTAATTAAAAATTCGACTTGTAAAACAACACACAAAACAAAATAAATGCAGGAGTGCGTGGCAGTGTTATCGTTATCGCCGGCTGTCAATTGTGGGTGGGACTCTCTCTCTCACTCTGCGCTCTCTCTCCACTATCTGTTAGTTTTTATCAGCTGCGAAAACTTTTCCATAAGGCGAGGCTTTTGATTTCTTTTTGATGGCATTTGTATTAAGTTCATGGCCAAGCTGATAATACAAATACGCATTTTTGGAGGCGCGTGGCGCAAAACACGCCCTTAATTTTGCAAGTTTCGGCTATCGATAACGATAGTGACCTCTTGGCGATGTGTTATTTTAAAATGAAGCCGCCAACGTCTGCGATGGGTTGGGAGGCTTGTTCTTCGGTGATTATCTGCGTCTGTCTGCGGTTTTGCGTTCCTTATCTTCTCGTCCAATTGTATAACTAGTCATAATTGCGTGATTCTTTTCGGGAGCTTTTGTTGCCGACTTGACTTGTTCATTCATTGCTGAATGGCTGCCCAAGCGATCGGATAACATATTGTTGAAATAAATAAACATGCCAGACTGGCGCGATCTAGTATCACGCCACTCCGGACACGCCCACAAATTGGTGAAAGGCGGTGAATGTCTGCCCAATATGCTTTTATGCTTTCACCATTTGAATTTCACTCGACTACCGTTTTTGTGGCACACAAACAGACTCTGCAGTTCGTACATTGCACGAATATATCAGTACATACAGTACATACACGATAAGATTTGACATTGGGGTAAATAAACACTAAAAACGAGTATTAAGGCAATGAGAAAGCAACTATCGCGATACGAGCCCTCCTTCAGATGTTCTCGAACAATCTATAGATATGTTTTTTGTATAGGAGAAGGTCTCTCAGGTGTCGAACTATGTAAATACGATAATAAACTTTGCACCTAAAGGCGAGTAGAGATACAGGTGTGATGGGCTCTCGAATGGGGTACGTGTCTGTCTGGTTAGAAAAACAACGCAAAGCAAAGTAAAGGCAACAGCATCCATCCAGCCGGTCGGCCTCTATCTCTCTCCCTCTTTCTTTCTCTATCTGTCTGGCCCCAAACCGGCTGGCTGCGCGAGAGACGATAAATTGCATATAAAATGCCGCTGCATATGTATATATGATTGTGTTTGCATGTGTGTCGCTTTCTGCATATGTATGGGCTTGTCTGTTGGGGAAAGTTCAGCAACAACACGAAAATAGGTAATTGGTGGGTAGACCGGAGGACAGGGCAGGGGTTATGCTTTGCATAAGCTTAAACAGAGTATTCGCTCAAACAGCTCACAAATTAACATATCAGTGTCGGAATTTACATTAAGCGATTCAGGGTGATGTGGTTTATTTATCAATTGGTTATAAATTGCAAGTCAGCCAGTCAGATAATGAAGATAGGCGGCGAATCAATGTGTCACGAAAATAATTGTACCAAATATGGTGCCACACATTTTATATAATAAATGGATGAGCGGCTTACCTTTCGTAATATTTAAATTCGAACGGTACTGAGGGGAGAGTAAAGAACACGACTTGTTTGAATTTTTGACCACGGCGAATGAAGACGAGAAAATTGGAGACAAGCATTTTATAAGTCGATCACACTTGGTTGGGAGAGCAAAAGAGACCAAAAACAAGTTTCTGATTGGAAAACATATCGATATATCGCATACAGTAACACCGATGTTCTACCACCTCTGACTCTGTAAAAAGCTTTCAGGCTGGCATAAGTGGCAGCTTTTGTGCGGCTGCAGGTTTGGTGGCGCAATTTTTAAATGTTTAATTGCGGTAAAAGGGATGGAAAACTTTGAATCAAATATATAAAAAATCGAAAATATAATAATGGCATAAAATATAATAATTGTCATAGAAAATATTTAAATATAATTCGAAAAAGCAGTAATAAGAAATAAAACAAAACAGAAAGACTCACCTGTTTGTTGTTTTTATATTATTGCTGCAGCTTTTCTTTTATTCCTTTGTTGGATATTATGTTGTTTTATATGTTGCATCACACACACAGCTCAAGTCGTCATAAATTAACCAAATAATTGTTTAGCAGGAAAAACTGAAAAAACAACAAAAATATCACAACAAAAAAAAACACCAAAATAATTAAACCTCACACAAAAGGCAAAAGCGAGTGCACTTTTATGATCTTTCGCTATTTTCTCGCTGCTTCATTTGTTGTAACTTTACACAAATCACATACACCTACACACACATAACACACACCTCAAGTCGTCATGAATTAACCATTTAATTTCTTGGCAGAAACAACAAAAAATAAACGAAAAAATATTCACACACACGCAAAAAAAATAATGACGTCACTGCTTTCACGATCAGAACAATTCGGCCCGCAGCCGCTTCGCTTAGCGACCGGAAGATGCTTACTGATAGCGGAGGGGGGACCGAAAAGACCAAAGAGGCAAAGCAGCTTACAGCTTGGCCCTCGTTTACGCTCGTGTTATCTCTCACCATCGCATTGATAAGAATGAGAGCGTAAGCAGGTGGGCGGTCGGAAACGAGCGCAGTGTGAATGCAGCTAATTGCATAAATATGCGTAGGGCAGAGAGCTGACAATAGTGTATGGGTAGAGTCATAGAGCCAGAGCGAGACTTCGTTTCTGCTCGTCAAGAGCGCAGAGCGTAGAGCTGTGCTAAGAGTGCATGTGGGTGTACATATGTGTGAATGACGTTGGGCAGCTGTGAGAAAGGGAGGCAGCGCTGCTGCTGAGAGCTCATTGTTAGCGAGGGGTGGGAGAGGCAGGTAATAGAAGCCGAAAACTGTTAAACAATTCGTAAAAACACTCAGGCTTACTGCTACTGTTATGTTAAGTACTATGTTAATTTGGAGAATTTGATATGAAATGTTGGTTTGTTAATGTTAACCATTAATAGGCTTTTATAAGCTCTTTGCCCACTTTGGTAAAACTGGGCGCACAGCGAAATATGTTTAAGGCGCATCGGAATTCTGAGCTTTTTTAAACAATTATAATATTCCGTAAATGGTCACCCTGTGTAGACATGCATTTTAAAATTCGATAACATTGGCTAAACAGTGCAACAAATGTTTCTGATTGGCAAAAGCATGTCGATACATCGCACACAGTAAAATCACTGCTTTTCCACCTCTAATTTCTTAAAAAGCTTTCAAGCAATGTGGCGCAACAGTCAGCCTTTGTGCGGCTGAAGTAGCGCTGGCGCCATTATTTGAAATTCAAATTTGAATGTGCCAGCAAGCAACGAGGTTTTTTTTACGACCTGGTCAATGCTTGTTGCAGCGCCTGCCGCGGGCCGAAGAGTGCGCCCACATTTTATGGTCCCAGTGTAACCGTGAAACGTTAAAGGCACATTCCTATTCTCTGCGCCAAAAGTGAAATGTTAGTTGCGCTCTCGAGCTCGAGCTGGAGCTCTTGTTTTTCGCCAGATTTTAATATGCATATAAAAACATTTGCGATTCGTAGTCGTGCGTCCACTTTTTATGTGCGAAAGTGTGTGAAATTGTAATACTCTGGCGTATGTGTGTAACCCACACACACGACAGCCCGTGACTTAATCCATTGAATATTTATTTGCCTATCAAATGGGCCCTGATTTGGCCGGAGAAGTTTCCGTTAAGCATTACCATTTCCCCCACCACGCTCCCCGCCGCTGGAAGATCAATGGCGGCGGCGGCGGCGACATTAACACGAAAGAGATCTCCTGAGCGAGCAGGCCCCTAATTTGACAACAGAAAACTGGCTGGAAAAACTTGTCTAATTGGTCGGGCGGGGGGAGGTTCGTCATGTGCCACTTTCTTTCTTTCTGGCGCGGAATTAGATAATTGTTAGGGGATTATATAAGCAACCCGCCCCCCTTCAATTATAACGAGTCTTAATTTGTGCATGCCAATGCATTAAATAACATAAAACAAGAGACATCAAGTACCTACCCATTCGAGCAAACAATTTTTCTGGTAAAACAAACGCGTGCCGGCGAAACTTTAATTTTAACGCCACGGAGACGTGGCCATGTATGAAACTGTTTCAGCCCTACATGCCATTAGCCCATGAGCCACGAGCCATTAGCCATGTCAATGAACGTGAAATGTTCACTCGGACTTTGCCAATGCACATCATTCATGGCTCACACATTGGGTTGGAGTTGCAGAGCCCCGCAAGTGACGAGTGCGTGCCTGGTTTGCCATATTTGATAGTTGCCTCTTTGGCTTTATTTAAACTAATTTTGTGTCGTTTTTTCTTTGCCGTTATGTAAACGAAACGATAAAAAACAGAAGCGAAGCGCGGCTGACAAGCAAACTAAACTACTTTTAATTTCAGCCGGACCGGGCCAAACCGGGCGAAATGTTAACGAAAGGCAAAGGCAAAAGTAAAAGCCACCGAAGTCATCCTAAAATATCAGCTAAATATGCTTTCAGACTTATTTTGAAAGTGAGAAGACAATCATTTGCATACAAAACCATATGTCAAAGATCTCAAAGGGAAGATGATGATCTCGTCTTGGATGTAGAAGCCAATGGAGCGGAGCAGAGTCATAAATTTCAGCACCAAACCCACTCCCACTGGCAGTGCATAGAGAGTGGCTTTAGTGGCTGGAATGTTTGACTTTTCACTTGTTACACATACGCCCCATGGTGCGGTGCAAATTTGTTCAGGAGAGAGGCACGGGCCATGGGCAATGCGGTGC